AGAGGTTTAGAACTCTCCCGGCCCGCCAGGCCCGGGCACGGGCCAGGCAGCGCAGGCGAAGAAGGCGCGTTGCGAAGCGCGCTCGCTTCCAGGGAGCACAGGGAACATGGGGTTCCCACACGGGGCGGGGGTCGTCTACTCGTCTGTAGATGATCCGAGGTATGTCGGGGCACCAGGGCCTTCCTTTCTAGGGTATACCTGGTTCCCCGGCTATTAGTACCCGGCGAAGGCGTGCGGTTTTAGTCGGTTCGAGTCCGACATGCCACCGACAGGTGGTATCCGAGGGGATTTCCGCACGGAAAAAAAAAAAAAAAAAAAAAAAAAAAAAAGGATCACTAACCATGGTGGTAAATTTCCAGAAACACATTCAAGCAGCCTTCTTTCTATATTATAATTGATCAGTGATCGTAATGATGATGATCAGCAGTTATCACACAGGAATTCACGTAAAACATTATTAACACTTAGTCATGCTTTGTTGTTGAACGTCAAAACAAAGCAAATGAACTACAAACTTGAATTTTAAACAAAATTATATAACTCAAATAGATTATTTAGAACATGATCACCTCTAGACCAATGTACAACATGTACAGTGCTATTGTTAAACTTAGATTGAAGCACAATAGACTTGAAATTGAGTATTTCCGATGATTTTAAAAGTGCGCAATAGTAATGTCATACTCGTACATCTACAATTCGCTTCACGTTTGTATGTAGTTCGTCATTCAAAGTTACACTGCCATGTTGAATATGTATTACTTCTTACTTAGCTATGTTATCCGTATGGTGAGTGATTAAGTATACGGAGTGTTACTACCCCTATTTATCCCTAAAGAGAAGGAAATCTTGACTGAAACCCGTTTGGCCAACAGAGAGGCATATGTCCAGCAGTGGACTATTATAGGCCTGTTTATGTGATGCTGTTACCTAAGTGAGATCAACACACACTTTCATTTGTTTAGTGTTTTGTTTTGTGTGTCATATGGGTGGGAGTAAAATTAAATTCGGCAGAATGTGGACGGTAAATGCGCCTCTACTTACCTCTTTGATTTAATGTATGGCATATAAGTAAGCGCTGTACTCGTCGATGCATGAAGGTCGCCATCTAATACGCTAAGTTACCCATACACAATCTAATGTCTGCCTAATCACTCCAAGGTGTTTGCTATCGATTATAATTTTTATTGTGAACCATAGATGTCATTGACATCTTACTGTGCTACCTTCCAACGTTACACCGGTTTCTGTTAGATACATACGTAGTGAGATGTGGCAGAAAACCGGTGTGGGCTTTTGGTAACACGGTGACTACACAAACGGTACCGTTTTATAAACTGTAAATACCAGCTGTATTTTTTATGTATCATCTTTACTCTCCTTTCGTGTAATCTGACGGAGTGGTTTTGTTAAACTATAAGGCGGGGACACGTTTGGTATTTGGTTTTGACCAATAAAAGCGCGCGTGGTGCTGGAGCTACTCTACTCAGAAGCTAATTATTGTTGTTAAAATTAATCATACGACAATGATGTTGAATGTGTAACGAGAAACACATAATACTAACATTAATTTCATACGCTCTCGATTAGAACTAAGTGAAGTGTTTGTGTGAGAGATGGGACTAATCCCACCCACACGCCCACCACTGTAACTCCTGTACACCAGGATAAACAGCAGTGACCCACGAACACAAAGAGTTATGACACTCGGTAAGTCCCAGGAAGAAATTAAACTGTCTTGGAACCCGCAACGAAATTAATCAGAAGAAAATTGGAGGAGTTGGAAATACAGTAAATCCAAGTGTTAAAGAGAAATTGGTATGTTCAGCGCCTTATTTTGATGAAGTAAGGAGCAGGAGTGTTGCAGCTAGTCGCCTAACGGATGATTCAACATTTGAAATAAGTAAACTCATCGTCTAAAACACACAAAGAAGACTTAAAAGAAATCTCAAGCGGTTTAAAGTAATAAATTTTATTTCCAGGATGAACTTTGTGTATTAAAGTTACTTATAGTTGTTGAAAGTAGTAAAATCTAGAAACGTTATTCAGAATGAATGTCATTCTTCCCCTTGGTCCTCGATCCTTCTTCATTACGACGATAAATAAACATTTATATTTGAGGTTTGTAGACCAAGGACACTTCTTGCCATTATTTAAATAAAAAGATATTTTAACTGTGTTGTCCTTTAAAAAAATAGGTATATAGTACATGATTTTACATGTTGTTTGTCCGATATGGTAAGTGATAATGTTATGTTAACATCACGTATTATGATAAGGTGCATAATTAAGTAAGGTAATAAAAAATAATTAAATAAAAATATGTACAATCGCACTTTGATGAATTATTGCGTACTAACTTATACCCACGGTTTGCTGGCGTTAATATTGATTTTGTAAATCAACTGATTTCAGTCCGTTTATGAAAACTATGCTACATGATGTTCTAGTTTATATTTTATCTTAAAAGATATCTTTGAGTTAAGTTTCATCCATATCCTTATTGCTATTTCAGCGTAATTGAGTAACAAATATCTAAATATATCCACCCTCACTTTTTGCGTTTATATTACAAGTTTTTAAAAGATGCATGTAAAAGTACTCGTATATTTGTTTTGTTCCGCAATGTCGTGTATTTATTTCTAATTAACCAATATTTGTTATGCACTAAATTTGTATTTTAAATGACTAGTTTTTTTTTTAAATTCCTTATAGGCTAATACCGCACGCATAAAATAGAAAACAATGTAAAGAATTAAAAATAAATATTATTGACGTAAAATGTGTTTTATTTTACGGTATAAGAGTTCAAAAAAGCTGATGTATCACCTGATGGTAAGTGACTACCGCTGCTGTGGAGCAACTAACAGTCCCAATTAGTCACAAATGCGCTGTCACTTTGTTACCCCCTCAACAGCACCAGGGGTTAGAGTTTTGGGCCGCGCCGGTAGCCTCACTCACTTTAAGTTTGTGTGACTGCCTTTAAGTGCCTCCCCCTAGGATTATAGGGAGAGGAGGGAAGCAATGAAAGAACCAATTACCACCGGTTCATTTTAAAATTCAATTTAAATATAAAATAAAGGTAAATAATAACAATTATACAATTTGATAAAATTAGATAGGACCGCATTAAGAGAAAGAAGAATTGATTGAATGTGGTTTTCTTAATACTTGTATAATATCCATTAATATTAGTTATAATTGCCCATTTAAATTTCATATAGATCTGATGATGAGTTTCGGAGACAGACAACGGAATTTCAAAAAATGAAAGAAAGGTTTTTAGTCCTCTTTTTTAGTATTGTTTGAAGTCGGCTCAACATTTTTTTTTTAAGATTTTTTTATCTTACTAATCAACCCATAACTTGAGCAATTAATTAGGTAGCGTATTTTAATTTGTATCAGTTAGGTGTCGAAGTGTGCCAGATAACTAACTATTAAGTATCTTTTTTTGTGGTAATAGATAAGTTTATATGGCACTTATCATAAATTAGTAATTTAGTACATTTAACTATATCAAATATGTAGGTCACCCACAGTGTGTATGTTATCATTTCGATTCATCGATTAAAATGTATAAGTTATTTATATACTGATTAATAACAACATACTTTTTTATGGCAAGGAGGCAAACGAGCAGAGGGGTCCTCTGATGGATCTTATGGTAAGTGACTACCGCCCATGGTCACCTACAACTCAAAAGACACAGGTGCATTACTGCTGTTTCATTCCTGTTAACCTTACTCCATCTATCCGTGTTGTAACGGATTAAGAATACGGAGTGTCACCACCCCTATTCATCCCGTGGGTGTCGTAAGAGCTGACTAAGGGAGCAAATTACGCAGGACAACAGCACTGCAAAGAGAAGGGAAACATGACATATACACTATACCAGCCGTCTGGCCAGCATGGTAAAGTAAGCCAAAACGTCATTTCTAAAGAGACAGAGAGTCCTTTCCAGTGCATTATAAATTCTAATTGCCATTTGAAAGTAAAACTTTTATGTACATTATCTGGTTTGTAGAACCAAACTATAAGACGCCTTGGATCTGATGAAGAAACCAGGAGATGGAGAGTAGAACCTTGCAGAGTTACACCTCTCGAGTTCGTTCGAATGACTTTTGTAATATAATAAAACTCGCGGGCATAAGTTAAAAAAGAAAGACGTTGCACCTTTTTTTTGGTTTATAAGGGCATAAATTAACAAAGATAATTAAAAATAGACCGATTGCGAGAAAATTTACGAACTGGTGAATTTAGTTTTTATATAAGTACCCAGTGTCACTCTTTCTAAATTTAATTATCAAAGAAAAAAAATATGTAATTTATCTGTAAGAGGAGAAAATACTTTGTAGTTGTGGAGAAAATACACTATATATATTATTATTATATGTACATACATATTTACACTCGGCAAACATAACCTTCCTTTTGGCTCAGTTGGGTAATAAAAAAGAAATTAGGTACGTCTTTTTATATATCTTGTAATTAATTAAGCTGATTGTTAAAGCACTCGACGGATACATATCTGAAAATATTTAATTTTGTATGTTTTTTTTCAAGTTTTTATTAGCTTGTGTTTTTTATAATATCTACAAAACAAATAAACATAAAAAGGAAACATAGTTGCTATGGCAACGACTTGTCTTAATAGATTTTTTTTAAAGGTTTGGTTTTTTCAGTAAGTGTTTAGTTAACGAAATACTAATACTAATAATAAATATAACGAAATCCATATGTAATATATGTATAGTACAGTATTTTATGACAACATTATTTTAAATATCATTGTGTTACTTACAATTACTAATCCAATTTAATAGTAGAAACGAAATCATTTCAATTTTAAAACAACATTACAATCAGCCATCACTAATTTAATTATTTTCACTACCGCAGTACACATAATATTACATACCTACTTATGAACGTCGAGTAAAAATACTCAAAAACTCGCTCACTTAGAACTAAGTAAACAACATGAAAATATAAATACACACCAACTATAACAACAGCATACTGTCTTAACAAAGGACTATCGTAGAATTTTAACATTTTCGACACTCACAAATTTCACTTTTAAATAATATTTAACCAACAGAAGGTGCACGTTTCGTTACTGATTATACGTATGCTTACATAGCGTGTTTGCAAAAGGAATGAAAAGTACCTGTCATCCATCGCAACCATTGACACTCTTCGGATGATACGTTAGTGGGGGTGATTTAGGGGACATCGGTACTTTGACCATGACACTAGTTCGCATTGAGAATTTTGTGTTATGCAGTTGCGTTAAATCTCTAAATGCATTTAGGCGAAACATAATAATAACAACTTTAAACATCTCACACACGATCGTCTGGTTCCAAATTAAGCAGAGCCTATACTATGGTAACAAGACCGCTGATAACATACTTATATACATATTTCTAAGACACAGAACAAATGATGGTGCTCATCACACAATTATTTATCCTCGGTGGGAATTAACCCACGACCTCCGGCTCAGCAGACAGTGTCACTAACCACTAGATCAGCAGGCCCGTATGTATATGTTTAAAGAAATTGAGAAAGCCCGCAATTTGGGTATTCTTGCCGATATTTATTTCTGTAATTAAATCTGTTCAGATGTTTTAGCTAGATGGAGCCGGCATTTCCTAATACTCACTCTGGGAAGAAACAAACCACAGAAGTGTATTTTTTTTTTTAAGTTAAAGTAAGTTGTAGGGTCTGGGTAGGCCTTTCGAAGAAAGGACCATAGTTTTGAGTCGTTCTGTTCACGCAGAGACATACGGGCCTCAGCGCCATTGTGTAGCTTAACCGATATTGGTCAAGATCAATGACCCGAAGCGCGACACTACCGCCAGCAAGACATTTGAGTAGGCCGAGGAAACTCAAAACCACCAGAAAGTTACTAAATATGAACTAACATTACCTACACTACATATATTCACATTTACATACACAAAAAATATACTATACAATTCAAGTTCAATGAAAAACAAAAACAAATTGTAAACAAACGAAATACGAAATAACACGTAATAGAAGGTATGTTTACTATTAGGCCTTGGTTTTTTTCGGGGACTTATTTCCTAGGGTATATCTGAGTCCCTTGCAATAGGCCCACGTGGTGTGGTTTTAGACGTTTCGATTCCGACATACCACGTTATCGTGAGCCCGAGTAAGATTATGACTTATGGCTTTCGATTCGATAAATAAAAATAAGGCCTTGGTGTCGGTTTAAATTCTTAAAATAAAATATTTTCAAGAAAATTGTCTTCTGCTAGGTATGTATATATCGATATATATATATAAGATCAAGTAGATCGGTGCTAGAATTTAAATATCGTAAAAATGTATGTGGAAGTGTGAGAAAAAAACTGTATTCTTCAATTTATGTATCGAAATTTGTATCGCGTTCTTCTGCAGTCAAAAGGTATTGGACCTTAGCTTAATTCTGCTATTCTCTACCTCTTTAACGGTTGATTTACTACATAGTGAATTGAAGCACCATCGTCACATGCGTGATATTTAAAGTTAATTAATTTATGGTTAATTTTAGGTAGTTAGAAAATAATGAAGTTACAAAGGTAAGATTAATAATTTTTATGCAGGTAAATTGGACTGAACCATAGCTTAGATTCCATAATACTAAATAATGTGTTTGGTTGCGATTCAGCGACTTTTATTTATTAAGTTATGACACGAGCACCAACGACCTGAGTTTGTAGATACGGTGGCAAGTAGGTACTTAATGTAGGTAGTTATGTTCGAGCGTTCGTCAGCTGTACGCGCGCGAGTTACGATACTACAGCGATAGATTACGTTAGTACCTGTACACTGCGTAGCACACTAACTACTACTACTACTAACGAAAACTAATCACTGTAAATCCTTTATCTTTAATTTTTATGATGAACTGACTTTTGCATCGTGATAAGTATCCCCAGAAAGACGTTTTAGTGAGATCTATGAGACCTTGTGCCTTACATATAGGATATTACATATGCCTTGTATATCTATTGTGAGTGCTATTCATATTTATTAAAAACCTACCATTTAAGATAATAAAATTAAAAAAGAATAAACAAGAAATAAAATTAAAAAACATACATACATAACGCACCTTTTTTTTTTTTTTTTTTTTTTTTTCCGTGCGGAAATCCCCTCGGATACCACCTGTCGGTGGCATGTCGGACACGAACCGACTAAAACCGCACGCCTTCGCCGGGTACTAATAGCCGGGGAACCAGGTATACCCTAGAAAGGAAGGCCCTGGTGCCCCGACATACCTCGGGTCATCTACAGACGAGTAGACGACCCCCGCCCCGTGTGGGAACCCCATGTTCCCTGTGCTCCCTGAAAGCGAGCGCGCTTCGCAACGCGCTCGCCGCCACCCCGGCCTGCTTCTGCTAGGGTGACAGATGGCCTCACCTGTCACCCCCAGGCCTGCGCTTATGGAGGACGGAGGTCGTTCTGCGACCTCCGGCGCCTGAGTCGCCTGCGCTGCCTGGCCCGTGCCCGGGCCTGGCGGGCCGGGAGAGTTCTAAACCTCTCCCGGTCCCGCTCCGCCGTCTCCTTCGCGAGCATAACTTGCTCGCAGAAGGAGACGGCAGAGTTCCACGCACTCTCGCTCCGCACGATAGCCGCAATCAGGCTATCGAGCGAGAGAACTCCCACTCCGATGGCCGCCACGAGGTCTCGCCTCTGCTCAACCCACGCCGGGCACTCTGCCAGCGTGTGGAGAGCCGTGTCCACGGTCTGGCCATCGCAGTGGTGGCACTCAGGCGTTGGCTCCTTGCGGATCAGACACAGGTGATCTCCGAAACATCCCTTCCCAGTGATCACCTGCGTCAATCGGTATGAGAGGGTCCCGTGACGCCTCTCGAGCCAATCCTCCATAACGGGTCTTACCGCCGCAATGACGGCGTGCCCGGCGCTCGGTTGCCCGAGTCGTTCCCTCCACTCCCCTATGATGACCTGGCGGAGTTGGGATTTCCGGTCATCGATTTCTCGAATCTCGGGGCATCGACCCAACTCCTGCGCCTCCTTGCGCCACTGATACAGTGCTGCAAGGGCTCTCGCCTCCAGGTCCCACGGTGGAGTTCCGGCCAGGAGACTCGCCGCCTCAAAGGAGATCGTGCGGTACCCCCTTATGATCCTGATGGCCAGCATTCGCTGCGGTCGCCGCAGTATCGCGACGTTGCTGGCCTTCAGGGCCCCCGCCCATACTGGGCACCCGTAAAGGGCCATGGACCGCACAACCCCCGAGTAGAGTCTCCGGCAGGAGTCATCGGGTCCCTTCATGTTGGGCAGCAGCCGCGCCAACGCACGCGCTGCCCCAACCAACTTGGGGACCAGACCTCGGAAATGATATCCGAAGTCCCATCGGCCATCGAGTACGAGCCCCAGATACTTGATCGAGGGCTCGATGCCGATGCGAGTGCCTCCTACCGTGAGGCTAGATCCCTCAGGCGGCTTCCTCCGAAGCCCGTGGAAGAACAGGGCCTCGGACTTGTGCAGAGCCACCTCGAGACCCAGCCGCCGGATACGCTCAACGACTTGGGCAACCCCGGCCGTGGCCCTCAGGGTTGCCTCGTGGTGCGTCTTGCCGCGCGCCGTAACGAGTGTGTCGTCCGCGTAGCACACGACGGCGACACCATCCAAGAAGGCACCACGAAGCACCCAGTCGTAGCCGATGTTCCACAAGAGTGGCCCTAACACCGACCCCTGCGGAACACCGCACGACATTTCACGCCTACCGAGACCGGTCCTACTGGGGTAGACGACGGCTCTCTCCGACAAATATGCCCCGACTATGCGGCGGAGGTAGAGAGGCACTTCGTGATACACGAGCGCCTCCCTGATGCAGCTCCAGGGCATAGTGTTGAACGCGTTGGCGATGTCCAAGGACACCGCCAACACCACTTCGCCCCGGGAGACTGCTTCCTCCGCCAGAGCCTTCACGCGCATGATCGCATCATACATAACGCACCTCCGATAAAATAGTGTAATAACACAAAAAATTAAAATGTTCAGGATAAACAAAAATGTTCAACTTATTTTTTTGGAACGAGAATTTCTTACATTTTTTCCAAATATTACATACATATTATATATCAATATAAAGCTTATAAAAAATGCTATTTATCTGTTTTATTAGTTATTTTAAATTACTGTTTTTTTTTTATACAATTTTTTCTGGTTATAACTCTATTTTATCAAAGATTATTAAATTATTACAAATAAAATTCTGTATTTATGTTGTAACATTATTTATTTCTACCAAATTAAACATCAAATATAATAATTCTTAACAAAATTAAAAGTCTTACTAAATTAAATATCTAAAAAAAAATACTTGAGATCTTATTCCTGTTATCACTTGTAATATTATTAAAATACTTGTACGATATTAATTGTAATACAAAACAATCAATACTTATTATAAAAGTAAGTAAATCAGTGTCTCTGAACTAAAATAAAAAACTTGTTGAACTTGAAGCAAACAAAATCTTAATCTAATCGTAATCTTAATCATCTCTTAATCACTTATCAGTCTTATCATACGTACTCGTGAGAAACAGTTTGATCAATCATCAATCTATCTGTAAACTAAATAAAAAAATGTAGTAAATACTATAGTAAAATGTTAAGGTTTCATCAGATTTCTTCTAACTTTCTAGTTTTAGGATATTTAACAAAAATGTTGGTAAAATGGCGAATAAAAGTGGAGAATATGATTATTGGCTACCAAACTTAACAAATCATTTCTTTTTCTTTCACTTATTTGCAGAGGTCCGTCATAAGCTGACTTTAACTCGGGTAATGAAAGCTTGGTCTCCAAAAAAGTATCGTCATCATAAGATTTTTTGTAATATAGTACATCCGGGGTGTTTGGAAAATTTCAAAATTTTCACTTCGTTAATTTTCATACTGCCAGTAGTCATTCGAATGTCACTGATTAAATTTTTCAAAGATATAAAATCTTGACATGAAAGTTCATTGGCGTTGTATCTCTCGCCAGTTTTTTGCAGATCTTAAGATTTGTG